GTGGTTAAGCGGGGAGACTCTAATCTGACAGAACTGGGTTTGATTCCTCACTCATCCACTTGCACCTGGCTTGATGATCTTGGGCAAGCCTTAGTTCTGGCACAGCTGTCCTTGAAAAAGAGCAGCTTCTGTCAGAGCTCTCTCAGCCCCACCGACCTCACAGGGTGCCTGTTGTGGGGAGGGGAAGGGAAAGGAGTTTGTAAGCCGCTCTGAGACACCCTTGGGTAGTGAAGGGCGGGGTATAAATCCAATCTCTTCTTCTTCTTCTTCTTCTAGCTGGTGTCCGCTGAGGGGTCGCATTCAGACGCCGGATCAGTCTGCGCCGACAATCAGCCGGAGCTCCCGCCTTCCATCGAGCGTACTGGGGGCATCGGGGATTCAAGGCCTCCGTCTTTTCAGTAAGTTCGGGTGTGTGTGTGTAAAGAGGAAGCTTACAGGAGAAGAGATCTGAGCAGATTTCATGCCAAAGGTATCCGTTTTCCTTTTCAAGTGAAGAGAAACTGGTCCTTTGGTTAGCGCAGGCACATCCCAACACCCAAGGCATGGTGGCGTGGTCAGCTCAGGAGAGAAACCTACACAACATTATAGGCACAGCATTAAGTGGTGTTTTAGGGACTCCGGCTACGTCTTGCGGGGCCCATCACTTGGTGTTTGAGCACATGCTTAGCGTGAGCTACGGGAAATGGCGGGATGTAAATATTTTAATAAATACATTTAATCTCTCTTTTAAAAAATTATTACTATTTTTTAAAATTAAAATGAGGGTACAGAAACACAAGGGGAAAAGGGAGCTACAGATATTACAATAATCTGTAACTTATTGATAACAAGGATGATCAACATCTGAACAAATATAGAACATTTAACATAAACTTTTAAAATACATAGTATTCGGAATTTTTTTACATACTGGCCCCGGTCATACGGGCCAGCTAACGCGGGGGGTGGGTGGGTGGCTTTTTGCTCCGGCGCACTTTGACCCGCCCAAACGCGATCAGACGCGACGGCGGGGAATCGGGGTTTTGTTTCGTTGGTGCGTGTTTCCGGCACGCTTCATTGCAGCGAGGGGAGCACACTGGGGCGATCAGATGGAGGATGTCCATCTGTGGCCCGTTGCAGGCGTTAGATAGTGGACTTTCTCCGGTACGTTTTCACTCCGGATCTTCGGCCAGACGCGACGGGTTGGCAATGGGTACGCGACGCTTGCCAGATGTGCCCGTTTGGTCACGCCCATAAAACCCGCCCGGCATCCGTGAGTATCCCGCGGCAACTTCTATGTGTGATCGGGGCCACTGTATACGTTTATTATTAAAGCCTCGCATTTATTACCATCAATTACTATTAATATTGTTATAGACATGGATTATTACATTATATGTTCCATTACATCTTAATACCACTACGGTTGTCGTAATCACACTGTAATCAAAGAGTACATTTTAGGAGCATTTCTAAAGATAAAAAGGGACAGCAATAAATGAGGTTCATATATACGTCAAAAGCTATTTTTATAGTTTTGAACATAGCATGATTTTTAAAATATCGCATTATTTCAGAGAACACTTGTATCTATACCTTTGTAGTATTATCTCTACCAACCTTAATTGCATTCGTGCCAGTTTGTTCCGTGCGCCTTGGTGTTTAGTCATGCCGGCCACATGACCACGGAAAGGTCTTCGGACAGCGCTGGCTCTTCGGCTTTGAAGCGGAGATGAGCACCGCAACCCTAGAGTCGGACTCGATTGGCTTTCGAGCAAGGGGACCTTTACCTTTACCTTTTACAGTTATATTAGTGCTTAAGCTATTATTATACTGATGAAAAAAAACCCAAAATCCATAATAAATACATTTTAGATGTACAAGGTCCCAGAATCCCCGGCCTTTTCTGCTTAAAGAGATGTCAGTTATCGGGGCAGAGAAAGAGCTCATGCATAGACCGTGGAGAACGGCTACCAATCAGAGGACGTTATCCTGGCCTGGGTGGACTGGAGCCGTTTGATTTGATAGGCTGCTGCCATCGCTTGTGACCACCTCCTCGTGAAAACCTCAGAAGAATGGAGGAAGTTGGTGGCTGCCAGAAGGGCTTTTCTACTTCAGGGAAGAATCGTAGTACTAGGAATGAACTGCAAAGTTGTGAGATTGCTAAAGAAAGGCAGGCAGTTCTTCTGTGTAAAGTCTTCTGGGGAAAGGGGGGCGGCGCCAAGGGAACGGGTGGGCATATAAAGGTGGGCTGCAATTAAGTCCCTTTCTTTGGAAGTTTCTGAGCTCTCAGATAACTACTGGCTTCATGCTCTGGCAGGTTCCAATATACAGAAATAGCGTGCCGTATACTAGGGCTGCCAAGCCCCAGTTGGGTTTAAGGGATCCCCCACCCACAAGTCTTGTTTAAAACCCCCCAAAACACAGCCTTGTGTTGTTGCTGGATGTTCTGAGGAGAAGTGACAAAAGGTAGCTCTAGGAATCTCCAGAAACTCCATGGCTTTACCATAGAGTTTCCAATGATTCCTAGAGCTACCCTTTGTCATTTCCTTTAAAAAAAAACACCCGGAAGTGACTTACTACTGCGCACAACACTGTATCCCTGTGGCCCTGCCTTCGGTGCTCCTGTTGGTTGCCAGGTACTGCCTGGCAACCTTAGGTACAGCCTTTCCTGGATTTTATCGCGTCTCTGTTTCACCAGTGGCGACAGTGAAACTTGTTTCCTGTCCTGAGTGTGCATTTTCTACGTGCTTGAATAGGCAACAAAAGTCTCTTCTTCTCAAACCCCAGGCTCGGAGGAGCAAATCTTGGGTGAGTGTGATCTGCATGTGTGCTTTTACATCTCTTCATTTTGCAGCCCCAACACTGGGGGTAGTCGGGAAAACCTGGATAACGAGACAGAGACGGACTCGGTGGTATCGCTGCAGAGAGAGCGGCCGCGCAGGAAGGATGGGCCTGAGCACGGTGAGTCTAGACCTTAGCCTAAAAAGGTGGCCTGGGTATTGAGGTGTGCTGGTATCACGTGTAGGTGAAAGGGTCCCCTTGACTTGGGAAGTTCTTCTCGGTTGTTCTAATAAGAACCTGAGAAACTTCACCATGGATCTCCCCTGTAATCTACTTTACCAGCTAGTCCAACCCCTCCCCACCCGGCCTCTTTCCATCCACAGGCATTTCCTGTTGTCAAATGGTTGGGCTGATTCTCCCTTGAAACACCAGTTTAAACAGTTTGGTGTAGCGGTTAGGAGCGCGTACTGTAATCTGAGAGCACCGGGTTTGATTCCCCGCTCCTCCACATTCAGCTGCTGGTGTGACCTTGGGTCAGTCACAAGTTCCTTCAGAGCTGTTCTCTCACGAGCACTCCTCGAAAGAGCCCCGCCGACCTCACAGGGTGTCTGTTGTGGGGAGAGGGAGGGAAAGGCGATTGTAAGCTGCTCTGAGACTCCCTCGGGTAGTGAAGGGTGGGGTATAAATCCAATCTCTTCTTCTTCTCCTCTTCAAGTTCTGCATCTGAGGGGGGGGGGAATTAGGAACACACATACTGGATGGAGGATACACTTCCGAGTAGCAGTTGGTGTAAACAAGATCTTGGGGTACGGGTGGACCGAAAGTTAAATGTGAGCAGCCAGTGTGATGCGGTGACAAGAAAGGCGAATGCGATCTTGGGGTGTTTCACCAGAGGCATAACATCCAAATCACAGGATGTCATAGTCCTGCTGTACACTGCATTGATCAGGCCGCACCTGGAGTAGTGCGTGCAGTTCTGGAGGCCTCACTTCCAAAAGGATGTGGACAGAATGGAGCGGATGCAGAAGAGGGCGACAAGGATGATCGGGGGCCTGGAGACCAAGCCCTGTGAGGAAAGGCTGAGGGACTTGGGAAGGTTCAGTCTGGAGATGAGGAGGTTGAGGGGGGACAGGATTGCTCTCTTGAAGTCTTTGAAGGGCTGTCCCTTAGAGGAGGGCAGGGAGCTGTTCCTGTTGGCAGCAGAGGAGAGGACTCGCAAGAATGGGTTTAAATTCAGGGTGGGAAGGTTTTTCCTAGCTATTAGGAAAAAACTTTTGTACAGTCAGAGTTGTGCAGCAGGGGAATCAGCTGCCTACGGAGGTGGTGAGCTCCCCCTCCCTGGCAGTCTTTAAGCAGCGGCTGGACCAACCCTTGTCAGGGATGCTCTCGGCTGATCCTCCATTGAGCCAGGGGGTTGGACTAGATGGCCTCTAGGGTCCCTTCCAACTCTGTGATTCTATGATTCTAAGGGCCTGATTCAGTATGGCAGTTTCACGTATTCATGTGGAAGTACAGTCAGCAGGCTGTGGAAGGTCGGTAGTTCAGCAGTTCGAGACCCGGGTGCCGCATGATGGAGTGAGCTCCCATCTCTAGTTCCAGCTCCTGCCAACCTAGCCATTCGAAAGCAAGAAATTGCAAGTAGATAAATAGGTACCACTTCAGTGGGAAGGTAACAGCATTCCATGCGCCTTGGTGTTTAGTCATGCCGGCCACATGACCACGGAAACGTCTTCGGACAGCGCTGGCTCTGGCTTTGAAACGGAGATGAGCACCACAACCCTAGAGTCGGACTCGACTGGCTTTCGAGCAAGGGAACCTTTACCTTTACCCCTGCCAGCGGATGGAGACCCCACCCCGACTGGCCCGAAGGCAACATGATGACATTGCCTGAAAGCAACCTAGCATGGCAACAACGTCCTAGTTTTGGGGCAAAACTCTATGGTAAATTGGCTGCAAACTGGCAGTCTTCTGTGGACGTAGGAGGGCATTGTTTCTACAGGAGAAATCTGAAGAGACATGTGGCTCCCTGAAGAGCCATGTGGAGTATGGGGGAGAACAAAGCGCACAGAGAGGAGAGATCGGAGAGCAGCTGCCAGGTTAAGACCAAGGGAGGCGTCCGATGCTCCCTCTAAGCTGTGGAGTCCTGTGAGCAAAAATTCTTCTTTGTGAGCTCCTGGCATTCAAGTCGTGAGCCAGCGATTTGGCTGCGGCATCAATCAGTTTGCTCTGGAGCCCTCCTTCCTGAGCGAAGACAATAAGCTGGAGGCTAAAAAAACTGTGAGCTAGCTCACACTAACTCAGCTTACAGGGAACCCCGGAGGCATCCCATTCAAGGGGATAACAGCTATACACCCTTAGAGTGATGCTGCAGTCCCCCCACCCTTGTCCAGACACACTGAGCTGCTCACTCCAACAATCCCTATCAACTCTTCTCCAGTTTGATGGAATGGTTGGGAACGTGGACTCTAATCTGGGAGAACCGGGTTTGATTCCCCACTCCTCCACGTGCAGCTGCTGGTGTGACCTTGGGTCAGTCACAAGTTCTCTCAGAGCTGTTCTTTTTACATTACATTACATATTCGATTTCTATACCGCTCCTTCCCGAAGGCTCGGAGCGGTTTACGTAGTCATTTTACACATTCCTATCTAGGGCCACAGTACAAGGGGGAAGGGGGAATGCCTACCAGCACCCGGACCGCAAGGCTCTTGTTGTATTTTCGTTGTCGTTCTTCTTCTCGGCTCTTCGTGGTGGCGACGGCGTCTTGGTGCAGGTCTTATTTTTGCGGCGACTCCTTCAGGCGAGGGCTTCACGGTGCACGGCTATGCGACAACCGCAGCTCTGGCCTTCGTCCCATTGGCTCCGCCACGCTGCGTTGTTGCGTCGCCGCGCTTCCTGGTCCAATTTCCAAGAGCAGTCCTCGAAAGAGCTCTGTCAATCCCGCCTACCTCACCAAGTGTCTGTTGTGGGGAGAGGAAGGGAAAGGAGATTGTCAGCCGCTCTGAGACTCCTTCGGCCAGTGAAGGGTCGGGTATAAATCCAGTCCTCTCCTCTTCTTCTTCTGGCATCCCAGGAGGATGAGGCCGGTCTGAAGTATTTGGGTGCTCAACATGTGCTTGCTCACGGGCCTCCCGAGGAAGACTTCGTCAGAGAGGCGTGCACCCGGAATTAAACTTCGTTCTTTTGCTTCAGACCAACACGGTTGCCCCTCTGAGCTGAACAGATGGGCAGTTCGGCTCAGATTCTTGACAAACATATTGGTAGCTCGTGATGTGCGTTGAGTTTGTACAGTTAATTCTTTTTCGTGGAATTTAGGGGGGGAAATTAGCTTATTGCATTCCCAGATCTCGGTATGTACAGCCTGTTTTTTGTTTTTGTTTTTAAATATCCCGCAGCCAAAGGTTGCGGACGTGTTCAATTAAACATGCAACTGTTCAACCTTCCAATTATGAGCTTTGAACCTCTCCTGCGGATTCCTACCTTGACCTGCCTCCCTCGATTCCATGCTGAAACAGAAACCTCCTGAACTTCTTGACCCAAACGGAGTCTTGCATTCTCCCCTGGCTGATCTGTTTTCAATACCCTTCCTAATAATCCCCAGCATAGCACTGGCCTTCTTTATTGCAGTCACACACTGTCTCGTCATTTTCAGTGAGTTATCTACTACTCTTCCTCATCTGTGGGATGTAAGGAGATTACGGTGCCTTCCGGAAGGACAGTGTCAGGGCCCACCACCATCGGGGAATTAAGCAACATTTTAGATCCATCAGGAGTTCTCTGGAATGTCAGGAGACCCGTCGGGAGCGCTGGCTGTTGTAGCCAGCACAAAATATCAAATTCTATTCCCAGAGAACTCATACAGGCAGACAATTACTCAATGAACAAACAGAAGCAGTTTCTACGGCAAAGCCCAACAAAGGGTCTCATTCAGACCAACTACATTTTTAGGAGTATTCTCTAGAATTCGGTAAATTTTTTGAACAGATTTTGATTGGAGTTTTGAAACAAGTACAAGAAAAGAAAATAGCCAATTAAAACAAGTGACACCAAGGGAACACGTGACATCGTTAACAGCAGAGTTCAAAGCCCAATAAGAACATGACTACATCCTCTTAAAAAAACATCTAGAGGTGAAGAAACTCAAGCAAAAGAATAATTAAATTTCAATTCCAGATGGGAAAAGTCCTATTTTTGAAGAAAGACCATTTTTCGCATATCAGTTGCTCCATATCCATTTTGTCTGTAAACAGGTACCATTTGTCTAAAGGACTGTAGCGATCTTGTACTAGATCTGACGGTCCCGTATAAACAGAAAACTTTTCTAGGGAGAAACAGTCCCAAACCTTTGTGTACCACTGAGATACCCTTGGTGGAGAACTATCCTGCAGCCTTTGTGCGATAACAGCCTTAGCTGCAGTAAGTAAAATCAAAATTAAATCTTTATGCACCTTCGGCGGTTGATCTATTAACCATAGATTCAATAAGATTACAAAAGGATCTAAAAGCAAAGTATAGCCATATTTTGAATTGGCTTACACTCGCACCAACTGTGGCAGAATGTCCCCCTTTCCACCACACTGCTTCCAGCAGAGGGGAGAGGATTTTGATGTCATATGGGCTCTCCTTACTGGCGTTAAATACCAGCGAAATAAAACCTTGTATGCTACCCTTGTATTATCAGAGAATTAGATATATGGTTTGTTGTATTCTATATGGTAAGCCATTGAAGAATTCGGTAAATTTAATAGGAAAAATTATTTCATTAGACTTCTATCCTGCCTTCCCCACATTGTAGGCTCAGGGCAGGTACCAACACGCACCTATACGCAACTAATGCAGATTTACAAATTAAAACATATTCCAATAATTAATTAAAATTAGGGATTAATTAAAATTAGGTTCAGGAAGGGGATGAAAAAAAAGAGAAAAGATAGAGGAGGATTATAAAATGATGAATGAATTAAAGATAGCAGCTAGACAAAAACACTGTGTGATAATAGGTGATTTTAACTACCCACACATTGATTGGGTCAATATGTGTTCTAGTCGAGAGAAAGAGATTGAGTTTCTAGACACTCTAAATGACTGTGCTATGGAGCAGATGGTCACGGAACCTACCAGGGGAGAGGCGATCCTTGATTTGGTCCTAAGTAACACTCAAGACCTGGTGAGAGATGTAAAAGTGATTGCACCACTTGGAAACAGTGATCATAATGTTGTTGAGTTCAACATTTGTACAAATAGGGAATTGGCCAAAAAGACTCACACAACCACTTTTAACTTTAAAAGGGGTAATTTTTCTGATATGAGGGGACATGTGGGGAGGAAACTGAAGGGAAAAGTAGAAAGGGTCAAAACCATTGGGGAAGCTTGGAAACTGTTTAAAACTACAATTCTAGAAGCTCAAATAAAATATATTCCGCAGGTTAGGAAAGGCACAAACAGGTATAAGAAAAAGCCTACATGGTTAACAAACAAAGTAATGGAAGCTGTAAAAGGTAAAAAGGATTCCTTTAAGCGGTGGAAAGCTAGTCACAGTGAGGCTGATAAAACAGAACACAGGCTATGGCAAATAAAATGCAAGTCTGTGGTCAGGCATGCAAAAAGGGAATATGAGGAGCATATAGCAAAAAACGTAAAAACCAACAATAAAACTTTCTTCAAATACATTAGAAGCAGGAAACCAGCCAGGGAGGCAGTGGGGCCCTTGGATGACCAAGGGGTAAAAGGAGTACTGAAGGATGATAGGGAAATGGCTGAGAAGCTAAATGCATTTTTTGCCTCCGTCTTCACTGTGGAAGATGAGAGGTGCTTGCCCACTCCAGAGCCGCTGAGTTCGGGAGGGGTGTTGAAAGACCTGAGTCAGATTGAGGTGACGAGAGAGGAGGTCCTAAAACTGATAAACAACTTAAAAACTGATAAATCACCAGGCCCAGATGGCATACATCCAAGAGTTCTGAAAGAACTCAATTGTGAACTTGTGGATCTCCTGACAAAAATATGTAATCTCTCCTTAAAATCAGCCTCCATTCCTGAGGACTGGAAGGTAGCTAATGTCACTCCCATCTTTAAAAAGGGTTCCAGAGGAGATCCGGGAAATTACAGGCCTGTCAGTCTGACGTCGATACCGGGTAAATTGGTGGAAACCATTATTAAGGAAAGAATTAGTAGGCACATAGATGAACAAAACCTATTGAGGCAGACTCAACATGGGTTCTGTAAGGGAAGATCTTGTCTCACTAACCTGTTAATGTTCTTTGAGGGGGTGAACAAACATGTGGACAAGGGGGATCCAATAGATATTGTTTACCTTGACTTCCAGAAAGCTTTTGATAAAGTTCCTCATCAAAGGCTCCTAAGCAAGCTCAAAAATCATGGGATAAAAGGACAAGTCCTTTTATGGATCAAAAACTGGCTAATTAATAGAAAACAGAGAGTGAGTATAAATGGGCAGTTCTCCCAGTGGAGGGGTGTAAGCAGTGGGGTACCACAGGGATCAGTACTTGGTCCACTGCTTTTTAACTTGTTCATTAATGATTTGGAGTTGGGAGTAAGCAGTGAAGTGGCTAAATTTGCGGATGATACGAAGTTGTTCAGGGTGGTGAAAACCAGTGAGGATTGTGAGGCACTCCAAAGGGATCTGTCAAAGTTGGGCGAGTGGGCGTCAACATGGCAAATGGGGTTCAATGTGGCCAAGTGCAAGGTGATGCACATTGGAGCCAAAAATCCTAACTATAAATACACGTTGATGGGGTCTGAACTGGCAGAGACAGATCAAGAGAGAGATCTTGGAGTTGTAGTAGATAACTCACTGAAAATGTCGAGACAGTGTGTGACTGCAATAAAGAAGGCCAATGCTATGCTGGGGATTATTAGGAAGGGTATTGTAAACAGATCAGCCAATATCATAATGCCGCTATATAAATCAATGGTGCGACCTCATCTGGAATACTGTGTGCAATTCTGGTCACCACACCTTAAAAAGGATATTATAGCTTTGGAAAAAGTGCAGAAAAGAGCAACTCGAATGATAAAAGGGTTGGAACACTTTCCCTATGAGGAACGGTTAAGGCGCTTAGGGCTCTTTAGCTTGGAGAAACGACGACTGAGGGGTGACATGATTGAGGTTTATAAGATTATGCATGGGAAAGAGCAGGTAGAGAAAGAGGTACTTTTCTCCCTTTCTCACAATACAAGAACCCGTGGGCACTCCATGAAATTGCTGAGCGGTCGGGTTAGAACGGATAAAAGGAAGTACTTCTTCACCCAAAGAGTGATTAACACTTGGAATTCACTGCCACAGGAAGTGGTGGCAGCTACAAGCATGGACGGCTTCAAAAGGGAATTAGATAAGCATATGGAGCAGAGGTCCATCAGTGGCTATTAGCCACAAGGTATAGATAGGGACTCTGGGGCAAGTGATGCTCTGTCATCTTGGTGCTTGGGGGGGGGTCAACAGTGGGAGGGCTTCTAATGTCCTGGCCCCACTGGTGGACCTCCTGATGGCACTGGTATTTCTGGCCACTGTGGGATACAGAGTGTTGGACTGGATGGGCCTTTGGCCTGATCCAACATTGGCATCTCTTATGTTCTTATGTTCTTATGTTCTCTAATCTGGGAGAACCAGGTTTGATTCCCCACT